GGATGGGCAGTGTGGGAGAAGGGACGGTGAGAGTGGCCAGAGGCAGCTGGAAGAGGGGAGCTCTCCAGTTAAGGGTTTCTTTTTGAGCATAGTTATTTTTGCTTAAGCTGTCTTTTGCTGGCATGTATGAAAATGAAAGGTTAAAAAATAAATCAGTCAGGCTTGCTGCCAGCATTATGAACCCTGTGCAAAGAGCATCACAAAAGGCTGAAGAGTTTCAGCCATGGAGAGCAGGTGATGGAGATGCTTTAGCAAAGGCTTTGTCCCACCCACAGACCTGAACCTTTGGGGGTCAAATTGCTGAGAAAGCCCCAGGTGTGAGCTGCCAGGAGTCCCAGGTGCCCAGCACACACTGCAGACCTGCTGTATGGGCTTGGCACCATCGCTGGAGCCCGGCCAGGAGAAATATGCAACATTTTCAGTCCCTGCTCAGTACTAACATCTTCCTCTCTCCAGCCAGGAGTCCTGGGAGATGGCAGCATGTCATGCCTTGTGCCTCCAGCACCACTGGGTGACTACCTTTGTGAGACAGAGGGTCCCCAAAGTACAAACCCAGGCTCTGCCCAGAGTTTTGGGGCAACTGAGGGCAAATCTGCCTTTCTTCGCATCCAGCCCCCTCACAGGGACAGGCTTACAGCAGATGAAGTGCAGGTATTTAAGATGGTAGTGCTCAGCCTTAAAGCCCAACTAAAATTAGGCTATTTCTCCCCAGTAGCTGCAGAGGTGTTGGGTGGCTCAAGTCCCTGGCACACAACCTGAGCACATGGCAAGAAGGGACCTGGACTTCAAGCTGCACCTCACAAAGCCTCATCTGAAATGAGTGACAGCTGCCAAACATGATAACAGCAAAAGCCAGCCCCCACAGCTGGCACGGGACTGTGGCTGGCATCTGCCTCAAGAGGTATTTCAAGGCATCTTGCCCAGTTTAGCAGGTTTTTAGCCCAGTATGAGAACTTGAGGCAGGAACAGCCTGATAACTGCCTGTCATCATTCCCTGCTCCCCTGACCCTTCCACACTGACTTGTGGGTGCTCTCAGTTAGGGCTTGCAAGACTTGGCTTTACTTTTGGGGCAGTTCCAGCTATCTCCACATGACAGGACCACTCCAGAGACACAGCCCACCTCCAGATCTCAGGGGTCAGCCGCCAAGCCATGGCACCAACTGTGCCACCCAGTCCAGTAGCTCCACATCTCCCAGCACCAGCTTGTCTGTGCTGGCCAAACAGCACCCCCCAGCCATATCCCTTGTTCTCCCACACCATCCTCCTCTCAGCCACTCCCGTGGATGGGTGTCTGCTCTTCTCAGGCCTTGCCCTCATATGGTGGCTTCTCTTCCCAGGAGCCCTGGGCAAGGCAGGACGCTGCTTGAACCATGACCCCAGGGTCCTTCCAGCAAAGCAGCTCCCAGTTCCTGACTGGGAGCCATCCACCGCATTGGGATGCTAAAACCACCACCGTGCTGAGGTGGTCACATGGTCCCCAGGTGCTGCCCATGTCAAGATGCAGGTGGAGATGGAGGTCCTTGGGACCATCCATTCCCAGCTGTCTCCTTTAGGAGCCCTCATGCCCCTGTGGCAGCTCAGGTCATGCTGGACCCTTGTCCTTCTCATGCATGAAGCCCAGCTGAGCTGTCCCAGGCTGGGCTCTGCTCTGGAGATGCCATATAGACATGATGGCACCAGCTTCATCTCCCTCCAGCGTAGCCATCCCCAATTTCAGATGTCTCTCCAAGAGCTGCTCCTGTCCCAGCAGGAGCTGGGACACATGGAGCAGGGCAACAGCCAGGGCTGGTAGTGTCCCTCTGTCAGGGTGATGCTAGTTCAGCACCCAGACTGGGCTGTGCAGAGGCTCCTTCCCCACTGGCCCCACGGCTTCAGAGGGGCATAGGGCTGGGGCACCCACCAGAGTCCGCAGCACCAGGGTAGGGAAGCCGTGCCGCTCCCCCACTGTGTCCACAGGGCCAAACCTTCGGGCTGGGAGTAAGATGGGGCACCGCCCTAATGCATGCTTTTAGCCAAGGAGCTGCGGTTGGGTTTGGGAAAAGCCCATCTGGCAGCAATCCACCACATCAACAAAAATAAACCCCGAGATGAGACTTTTATCTTTGCGAGAGCATATTCCAGCATGTAAAAGTCTGTTGGCCCAAGACTTAAGGACCCTCCCTCCCCATGCCAGGGAGCGCCAGGGACCCCATGGCTCGCACCGGGCAGGGGATGGGTGTCAAGGTCTGTCCCCTCAAGCCTTGTCAGCTGGCGGATGGTTCAGCAGGATTTCACCGAGGGGGATGCTCCTAGAAGGAGTTTTGTGTGGCCACATTACCCCAGCCACAGGCTGGTGTGCTGGAACTGCACGCTGCTGCGGTGTGAGGGCAAATGGCCCAGAAAGTTTTGTTGCAGGACTTGGTGGCCCTGGGCACAGCAGGTGAGTCCTTTGCATGAGAAGCGAGTCCTGGGAAGGGATACAGCTGGTCCTGGCTGCCAGGCAATCCCCACCGCCCCTGGCCACGCAGGCAGCCCCCACTACCCAGGCAGCCCCTGCACCCCCATCAGGGCAGCACCCGAGTGCCACAGTTTGGCAACGTGCCACCCCTGTGTCCTCAAACGCACCTGGGAGCTTGCCTTACCTCGGAGGAGCAGAGCTGGGAAACACCGTTTGCTGGCTCTTCCCCAAGGCACCTGCAAAATGCTGGGAAAGCTGCTTGCAGGCGAGCTGTGCGGCACACGGGTGGATGTGGCATTGTCCCCCTGTCTTGAGCACCACGCCCTGGTGACACGGCTGTTTGCTAGGTTGGGGCTGATGGTCTTGGGCAAGCCCCGGCGGGGCTCAGCAGAAGGAAACTGCCCTGTTCCTCTGCAAAGCGTTGCAGTGAGGCTGAAGGACGCGTTCGTTTGATCTTTTTGTTTGTTTGCCCCTTCTTTGGTTTAATTAGCCAGGTGGTTAGGGAGCTGCAGGACAGTCTAAAGGCACTGGTCAGTCCCCAGGGCAACTTGGTTAGTGTCCCCCTCCTGACTCAGAGGCTTTGCTGCTCTTCCTGCTCCTCTCCGCCTTCACCAACTGCGCCCCCCCTCACCGTGGCTGTGGTTCTTCATGCCCGTCAGCAGACATTGGCTGCCCCCCCACGCTGCCCCAGCCTTGCTCGCCTGCTCTCACCCCCATTGCCCCTTACCCCAGCCCTCACCATCCCCAGACCCACACCAGTGACTGTGGCTGCTGGTGATGCAGTATCTGCGGCTGCAGGTGATGCAACATCCGTGGCCTATGCACTCAGAGTGACCAGGTGCGTTGCAGGCACAACCGTGGCACAGAGACACCGAGAGCAGGGATGAACTCACACTAGAATGAGGTGGAAGTGGACAAGGAGCAGCCAGCCACCCTCCTCCCAGGTGACGTGTCCTGGGTTTGCCGCAGATTGGAGCGTGCGAGCAAACGGCTGGCTCCAAGTGGACAGACCAGAGGAGCATCTGGGGACATTAGGGCTGCACCTTGGTGACACAGAACCCTGGAAAACCACATCACAAGGTGAAGCAGGAGTGGAGGAGTTCCTGTGAGGCAGGTGCCAGTGCTTGGGCCCAGCGCCACCTAAGGGTGTGCAAGGACCGAGCAAAATGGGCACTCCCATCCACCCTGTACTTCCAGTACCAAACCCTGGTGCCAGCCCAGGACGAGCCATCTAGAGTCACTGGGGACAGGGCTGGAGCCAGGTGCCACCTGAACAGAGGCTGGCAGGGAGCAAGTCACACTGCACATCAGGGGCTAAGCCCCAGTATGGCCCAGTCTAGGCTAAATCTGTGTCAGCTTATGGATCCTGCCAGACCAGGCTGCTGGTTCTTCCACTGCTGTTCCGTGACAGCCAGGATGAGCTGGCAGCAGCATGAAGGGACAACCATTGTCACGTAGGGGAAACTTCTTTGCAGTTCCCATCCGCTTTCTACAGAGAAAAGGAGCAGCTGCTTGTTTCATTGTCATCAGAAGGAGATGACACAGAGGAGATGAGACCCACGAACATGTTCCTGGTGCTCCTCAGGCCTCTGCTAAGCGACTCTGAACTGGAGAGCCAGCTATGAAGCAGTTCTCTGTCTCAGGATCCTATCTGCATGAAAGCAGAGAGCAGCACCAGAGAAAGGGTGGTACCAGGAGAAGCCAGGTAGTCGGGGCAAAGACAGGGATGGGCCAGGGAACAGGTGAGATTGGAGGGGAAGGCCAAGATACCAGGAGCTGTTTTGTCAGAGTCATCATCATCAACAGAGTACAAAGGTCTGTAAAATTCAGTGTCAGGAGACCAGTCCTCTGGGGCTGGGCTGCAAAGCAACACTTGACATCTCACAGATAGGTGAGGGGCAGGTCCACTGTTCTCAACACCCTCGTGGAGGGAGCCGAACATAAGTGACGCCGAGGTGTCTTTGGCGCTGGGAGTTCCCCGTGACATTGGCATTTAACACGCTGATCTGCACTTCCCCAAGGAATACTGAATTATTCACACTTTCCAGGGGTCTGAGGACAGCGTTTCACACCAAAGCTGGGGTTCAGTGAGACACCCCCCCCCGCCCCCACGACCAGCATCAGCCGTGCATACTCCTGTCCCCATGCCTTGCCCTCCCAACAGCCCTATCTCGATATTTAGGGAATGGATCTGAAATACAAAGAAAAAAACCCCACATTTCTGTTCAAAAATACACACATCAGTTCTCTCTGGCTCAGAGCACAGCTCTGTAAAACGCTGCTGGCGCACTGAAGGCATGAAATGCTCTGGGAAGTGACAGGACAGCACATTCTTACAAGCGTGGCCTCAGATGGAGCAGGGCAGGCGAGGCAGCAGCTGTGGTGCTTCTGGCTGGCAGCAGTCTGGGGTGTATGAGGCTATCTACAGCAACCAGCCAACCGCTAGGTAATTCCCATTCTCCAGGCAGCAGTGTTAAGCACAAATGCTTTCTAGGGAAAAAGAATATTGTAAATAAAACTAATCCTTCCATGCATTTTTATTTTAAAATAAAATAACTGGCATATCAAACAGTGCTTGCAGGGCACGATATAACACTAAGAGCGGAGTGAACTGAAATAAGGAAGTGGCACAAAAGGATCTTTTGAAGAAATAAGATGCTACACAACATAGCAGCGTGCTTACAGACCCTTCCTCTTGTAGAACCGGACCTGTGTAACCTGCCACCTACCACTCTCTACAGAAATAAAGGTGGGGAAAAGCTCGATAACAGTTGCTAGGAGTCCAGGGCTCCCCGGTGAGCCAGGCACATCCCAGCCAGGGCAAGGGCAGTGATCCGGAGCTCGCTCCCTCGCTGTCAGTTCACCCGGCAGGCTCGGATCATGAGCAGCTGGAGGAGGATGAAGACAGGCGACATGATGAGCCCGTACCAGAGCTCCCGGGTGTGCTCCACCAGCTTCTGGCACAGCAACATCTCGAAGACGAACTTGAGGCTGAGGATGGTGAGGATCCAGAAGAGCCGCAGCACAGCCAGGCGCTTCTCACCGTCCTGGAAGAGCCGCACCGAAACGATGGTGGTGAAGTAGGTGCTGAGGCCGTCGGCGGCGAAGAAGGGGACGAAAACGACCCACCAAGAGAGGGCCGAGGCCTCGCCATCCACCTTCAGGACGAGGAGCACGGAGAAAGCCAGCAGGGCCAGGCCGTGCAGGAAGATCTCGAAGGTGGCGAAGCCCAACCACTGCACCAGCTCCCTCAGGGAGAACAGCATCGTCCCCACCACCGTGGGGACATGGGCGCTGCCGGAGGGCGGCGGGGTGGGACACGGAGAGGCGGGGGGGGG